ACTCTATGGTGGGGGGACCAGACTTCCAGTCAGCAGAGGAAAAAGGACGCCACACTAGGAGACTCTATGGTGGGGGGACCGGACTTCCAGTTAGCAGAGGAAAAAGGACGCTGCGCTAGGAGGAGACTCTATGGTGGGGGGACCAGACTTCCAGTCAGCAGAGGAAAAAGGATGCTGCGCTAGGAGGGAGACTCTATGGTGGGGGGACTAGATTTCCGGTCGGCTCCAGAATTGAACGAGGGGTTTTCCAGTTAGGACATTTGTGGGCTCTTTGAGTGTTTAAGGTTGCTGACCCCTGCTCTACCCACAACCATGTTTCTCCACCTTGACGACTTGAAGGCGTGAGGACTTCAACTCCCAGAAATCAGCCCAGTTGAGGAAGAGTCCCAGTAGCCAATCACAACATCGTTCTGCCTGAGAGTGACAGGCCAGCGCAGATGTTAGAGCCGGGGGGGGGGGGGGGGGGGGGGGGGAAACCAGCTGTTGTCTCATTAGCTTGACTCTCTGCCAGGCAAGAGTTATGGGTCCACCTGCTACCCCCCCCCTAAATTTCACACCCTTAAGACAGGCTAAATAAACAAGGCCACCCTCACCACAGGCTTCTGAGAACCACAATTTTTGGGGGTGGAGTGGGACAGATTATGGAATTATTATTATTATTTTTTAAATACAACACGACATGCAGCTGGTCTTTTGGCAGGTTCGATGCTGCTCCCATGACCTACGATAGTCAAAGACAGAGGTCTTGGCAACTTTTAAGATTTGTGGACTTCAACTCCCAGAATTCCTCATGTCTTAAAATTGACACGGTTGGGATTCTGGGAATTGAAGTCCACAAGTCTTAAAGTTGCCAAGGTTGGAGGCCTCTACTGTAGGTGGTTTTCTTGGGTCAGTTTCCTTCCTCCAATGATGGGGAAGAAGACCCCCATGTTTAGCGGAACCAAGGACAAGTCACACAGAAGCTACCCAATGAAGCAGAAGTCGTCTTCAGCCGGTTCTGGCCAGTTCTAGAGAACCGGTAGCAGAAATTTTTCAGAGAACCGGCCAATAGCACCTCGGACTGGTCCCGCCAACCCCACCTCTTCTCTGCCTCCCATTGAGTCCCAGCTGATCGGCTGGGTCTCCTTTGGTTGCCCTGCCCAGGAGAACGGAGCTGGAAAGCAGGTGAGTGGGGTGGGGGAGGGAAGGGGGATTTTGCAGTATATCCTTCCCCTGCCATGCCCCCCAAGCCACGCCCACAGAACCAGTAGTTAACAAAAAGATTGAATCCCACCACGGGTCCACAAGTCTTAAAATTGCCAAAGTTGGAGACCCCCTACTCAAAGAGATACGGGGGAAAAAGACGCGTGGCTGTTTTGCAGGAGACTCATCCTGGTGTGTGAGAGAAACGGGCATCTACGACACGCCGCCGACACCAACACAGCCCCCAAGACAATCTGGATCCTCCATATTCCCTGAACGATGCGATTCCTTTAACAGTGGTTGCAGTGGTTCGTTTAAAACCAGACTGGCCCAAAAGGCCATTATTTTTATTTTTAAATTGGCTGCCAACTCGCTGAACCACCCTGGCCTAGCCATGGAAATCCTGCTTCCCATGGTGGTCGTAAACCGAGGACCCCCGGGGTCATTGGGTCCTCACCTTCGGTCCAGGCTTCGTGGATGGACGCCTTCTGCCTGAACTTCAGAGCCAAATGATCCAGTCGTTCCAGCCTCCGGATTTCATTCAGCTGCCACTCTTCGAAACCTTTCTCGGCCTGTTCCAAGCGCTGCCAGCCGTTGTTGATATCCTGGGGGGAGGTGGGGAGGGGGTATGGTAAGGTGGGGCAAGTAAAATAAAGCACAATCCCCCCCCCCCAAAAAACCACCTCTTAACAGCAAGATGGTTTAATGTGGATCCCCCATTTTAAGGATTCCGTGAGGGGCCCCCTCTCTTGCCTGCTTAAAGAGGTCACGCTTAAGGTCCGTTATTATTAATTTGCCAAGTTAATCTTTTTTATTAATCTGAATTTGGGAGGTTATCTTTTTATTTTAAATCAGTGTTTCTGAACTTTTAAGGACGCTTTTCAGGTGTGGGGACTTCAACTCCCAGAATTGCTGGCTGGGGAATTCTGGGAGTTGAAGTCCACGCACCTTAAAAGCAGCCAAGGTTGAGAAACATTGACCTAGAGCACGAGGTCAGCAACCTTAAACACTCCCAGAGCCATGAAGGTCCTAACCGGGGACACCCCCCCCCCTTTTTCAATTCCGGAGCCGACCGGAAGTCCAGTTTTCCCACCATAGAGTCTCCTCCTAGCGCAACAATTTTTTTCCTCTGCCGACCAGAAGTCCGCTTCCCCCACGCCATTGTTTTCCCTTTTACCAACTGGTGACAGGGAGCTGCAGCAGAGGGATGAAAGAGCCACATGCGGCTCTAGAGCCGTGGGTTGCCTACCCTTGACCTAGAGAATCCAGTTCCGGATTTACAACAGTTCATTCAGTGACCGTTAGAAGTTACAACGGCACTGGAAAAAAAGTGACTTGGGGCAGTTTTTCACCCTTACGACCGCTGTAGCATCCCTGTGGTCACATGACCAAGATTCAGACGCTTGGCAACTGACTCGTATTTATGACGGTCGCAGCATTCCGGAGATCCCAGAGCGTCCCCTTTTGCGACCTTCTGATGAGCAAAGTCCACAGGGAAGCCAGATTCACTTAAAACAACCTCCTTACTAACTTAACGGCCACAGCAATTCACTTAACAACTGTGGCAGGAACGGTCGTAAAACAAAGCAAAATTCACTTGATTGGCTGTCTCTCTTAGCAACAGAAATGTGGGTTTCATAATCGTGGTCGTTTAAGTTGAGGACTACCCACACGGTAAACTACGCAAACCCGGAAGTGAAGAAAGACAGCGTAGGGAGAGGTGTGTCCTACTCACCGATACCATTCTTCCTTCGGAGGGCATGAAGGCTGGCCGGTTGCTAAGTCGCAATTTGGTCTGTAAGGTATTGAAGTTGATCTCCAACTGGCACTTCTCCTGCACCTTGGGGGGTTTGTGGACGCGCCTGTAGTCCCGGAAGTCCTCCAGCTTCTGCTGCATCTCTTGCATGGTCTTCTGGGGAACCCGGTTCTCCAGCCAAGGGATGGTCCGCTGAATCCACTCCAGCAGCTGCGGGAAGCACACCAGAAAAAAGCCAGATGGTGAAATATAATGTACTGTATCCTTAACAGACAAAAGTACAAGAAGACATGTCTAGGGAGGTCATTCCAGGTCATGGTTGGTTGTCCCAAAGGTGCTTTTTTCAAGAGCTTAACTGGAGTTTCTGCTATTTTCTCGGAAGACATTTCAATTCTCATCCAAGATGCTTCTTCAGCTCTGAATGGTGGGGAAGGGAAGGATTTATGCTCCTTGCAGGCAGCTGGTCATTTGCATCCTTGTAGAGGGTCCCTGAGGCCACTTGGAGGTTTATCTGTGTCCTGAGGGTTACCCGAGTGTGCAAATGCTTCATGTAGTCTGCAATTTTTTTTGGAAATCCGTTCCTACTCCCACACCATTCAAAGGGCGTTTTATCTCAAATCGCGTAGCTAAAAGTCTGTAGAGATTCTCCGTCATTCCAGGTGATGGGTGTCTCCTTTTCAGGAGGCAACTGGACTTTCTGGTTTCTCTTTGAAGATGTTTCGCTTCTCATCCAAGAAGCTTCTTCAGCTCTGACTGGATGGTGGGGAAAGGAAAGGATTTATAATGGAAGGATATATACTCCAATAGATGTGTAGGGATATGACATCATCTACCTCCAATCTATAACACAGTCCGTTCAACAGTCCCAAGAAGGCTCCACACCCATTTGCACCACTCAGGTGTGACCCTGAGGATACAGACAAACCTCCAAGTGGCCCCAGTGACCCTCTAAAAGGATGCAAATGATCAGCTGTCTGCAAGGAGTATCAATTCTTGGATGAGAAGTGAAATGTCTTCCAAGAAAAAAATCAGAAAGCCCAGTTGTTTCTTGGGAGGGGGAGAAGCACCTTTGGCACAGCAAGACATGGACAAATGTAAAAGTTGGTCATAAATCCAGAGGGTTGCTACTAAACAGCAACCTTAATCTAGGAGAAATCTATTGATGAAAGCTGCTTGGCTTCCTGGAAGTTCTTCAGAAGAAGCCACATAGCTGTCTTTCAGAGATCTTCTCACGCACTTCGATGGAGTGAAATGACTTTGGAGGTCCAAATCTAGAATACTCAAAAGATTTTAAGGATGGGTTAAGTGGCCCGCTCATTCCAGGATGGATGAGCCGAAGTCACCCACGCTCAGTTTCAGCACCCCTCTGGGGTTCCCCTTCTCAGTTGACTCTTCTTCTCAGGTCCTTCTCAGCTTTTACTACCAACATGTCAAGAGATTCCATCCAGGGGTTTTTCTGCGGGTGCCTTCCCAGTCCAAAGAAGGGCGGGTTAGCATGAGACAGCCAAGAAGATGTGGCAACAATCAAAGACAACCTTCTCCATATTCAGAAGGTGCCCGGGCTGGGGAAGGTTGGCTAAGGCAGACTGTTAGCCGATTTGGCAGCTGTTCACAAAGACCAGGTGAAGATTTGATGGCAGAGGTCTCCAAACTTGGCAACTTTAAGACTTATGGACTCCAACTCCCAGAATTCTCCAGCCAGCAGAGCTTACTCTCTTGTCATCCCTTCCTCTGCAATCTCTCTTCTTTGGGGGATAGGAGGAAAAGAAACAGATGCAGCTGGCTGGAGAATTCTGGGAGTTGAAGTCCACAAGTCTTAAAAGCGGCCAAGTTTGGGGACCCCTGGTTTAAGGGCTGAAGAGGGACAGCAGAAAAGAGGCGGGAAGTCAGGGAGTATTGACTGTGCCCCACAGCAGAGAAACTTTGACTGACCAGGGGACTTTCAACATGCTGGCTGGAGAAATCTGGGAGTTGAAATCCACCCATCTTCAAGTGCCCATGGTTAAGAAACCTTTGACCATTAGAAATCAGGGACCAGCATGCAGTTCTACAAGGTCCCTCTTTGGAGCACATCCAGCAAGTTCAGAGATACATCAGCGCTACCTTCGAAGCCTCCGCAGGCTTTGGAAGCACCTGGGTTTGCTAGCCAGCTCAGCCCACGTGATAGTGAGGGGTCTTTGGCAGTGGTGGGATTTTTTTTACTACTGATTCTATGAGAGTGAGCTTTGCACAGAGATTGAAACCAGGGAATGCAGGACAGGACAGGGCGGGGCGTGTGGGCGGGACCAGCCAGAGGTGGTATATGCTGGTTCTTCGATTACTCAAAATTTCTGCAACCGGTATGGCAGAACCAGTCTAAACCGGCTGAATACCACCTCTGGTCTTTGGTGAACACTCTTAATGGTGTCCACCTTAAGAATTAAGTTCAGACTGAGAAGTGATCAAAGCAGCCCCAATTTCTCAACGGTCTCAATTATATCCAGAGCCTGTTGACAGACGAATTCACAAAACTCTTAGCTTGTCACAGGCTTTGTCAAGAGAGGTCACCAGGTTCAGCTCCTGCCTGTTGAAAACAGGGAAGGCTCATCGACACTCACGTCAGAAGCCAGCTTCTCGTAATCTTCCATCAGGTGCTCATTCTCTTGGTTGACGGCCAACACTTTGCAAATCCTGTTTGCAGCGGTCTCGGCCTACAAGCAAAACAAGAGGGAAAAATTTGGTGATTCGGCAGAAAAAACGTCCCGGAGATGGAGACCTACCGAGGAAAGGCACAGCATGAGATCAAAGCAATAATTGAACCATCACAGAAAGCGGCCGAGATTCCCCCACAGGCAGAGAAAGAGCGGATGTCAAGCAATTAAAGTTCATTCCAGGACGATGACATTATCTTGGAGTCAACTTTGACAACTTGGAGATGCGTGGACTTCAACCATGGTTGGGTTCTCCGACCACAGTTTGCTTCTCTAGCCATGGTTGAGTTCTCCAGCTGGCTAGGGAACTCTGAGAGTTGAAGTCCACCCATCTTCAAGCTCGAGAAACGCCAATCTGGACGCTGTGAAGACCTGTCCCCATCGGGAGTATGGCCAGAAACTGCTAAAACAAGAAGACAACAGCATGCCAAGCGTAACACCAGATCAGTTGATCGGACCAACCTTGGTTTGAGCTGCTGGATAACGGAACCAGATGAGAAGGCCCATCTTTTGTATCTGGTTGATGACAGTGCCCCAATCACAGGATCATGGCTTAAACCAATGTATGTCGAAAACTGATATATACTTCCTGTTTCGGTCTGCATCAATTTGAGCACTTGAATTTACAATTCTTGATGCATCAGAACCAAGACACAATAGTTAGCATGCGTGAATCAAAGCTAGTCCCTTCAAACCATGGTTTCAGGTTCTGATTTAACCCAATACTGATTACTACATTTTCTAACTTTGATGTTAAGGGCAAACAATTGGTTTGCATGAAGATTTAAGGACTCATGCAAAAAAAAAACACCTCTGTTTATCCTAGCTCTTCATAAGCCAAGATTTGAACGTTTTAAGAGAACTTATTGTATTTTATCTAGGATTCAGAAAGCACTGCTAAAACAGTTTGGCTCTAGCTATGGCATTTATTCCACTATTATTTCCTGCGGTATTTTTTTCTTTTGATTCTTTTTGATCCTTTGCAAGCTGCACAAATGTTCTTAGTGGCTCATTTCTGATAGCTCCCCTTTCCTAAATCAATCCTATTTCAATGAGATTGTACTCAAATCTTAGAACTGGAAGGGACCTTGGAGGTCATCTAGGCCAACCCCCCCCCCCCGCCGCCCAAGGCAGGAATCCTTATATCCTCCAGCAGTTGAGGTCAATTGTTAATTCTTCACTCTTGAATCCCAGTAACTATAACCTTCCCAGTTTCGTACCAATGGCTGCATTCCAAGCTGGCATAAAATCCAAAAACTCAAGAAAGGACAAACGAAACCGATGGTGAAGCAATAAAAAAACAATAGGATATAAAAAGGGGTGGGTTTTTTTTTTTAAAGGTAGCAGGAGCAGAGCAGGTTAAAGGTCTGCTAAAAAGAGGGAGGCAATGGTGTTGGGAGTCCCATTGTAAACACCCACACCTGGCCTACCCAGAAGCAAAGGGGGGGAAAGGGGAGGGAGAATTACACAGGAGCCATGAAATGGGTCAAAGTCAAGAAATCAAGTACCTTGCTAGAAGCAGAGAGAGTCCAAGGGAAGGAGATGGAAGCCAGACATCAACAGAAAGGGTGAAGAGAAGGGTCTATAGAAGGGGAAGGGGAAAGGGAGAGAGCCATGGAAGAAATGAGTTGCCAACAAAATAGGATATTCGAAAGAAAGAAAGAAAAAGCGCGAGAAAGATCTCTTAGGTCCATTAAAAAAATAAATAAATAAAACCCTACAATGTCTTTCCCTTCCACAGTGGGAATCGACCAACCCACCGACTTAGAAGATGTCTCCCATGCTTGCTTTAGACCAGGGCTCCCCAAACTTGGCAACTTTAAAACCTGTGGACTTTTAACTCGCAGCTATTCAATTCTCCAGCTATGCTGGCTGGAGAATTCTGGGAGTTGAAGTCCACAAGTCTTAAAGTGGCCAAGTTTGGAGACCTTCTGCTTTAGAGACCAGCGTTCCTCCACCTTAGCAGCTTGAAGGTGTGTGGCCTTCAACCTCCTAGGAAGTTGCCGAGGTTGGGACAGGCTGCTTTTAAAACCAGGGTCTCTAACTCCCAGAATTCCTTAGCCATTCCATGAGTCTTCAAGCGGCCATGATGTTCAGAGAAGCATGGGAAGAGAGCGGGGTTTTATTCTCAAACCTAACTTAGCTCTCAATCTCTCTCTAAATTCAGTGGGATAATGGAGATCAGTGGGATAATGGAGATCCATTATCACACCTGTGCAATGCAGGGAAAACTTGTGGCATTGAATTGGTTGAGCTAGCGCAGCCTAGCAACTTTGAAGACTTGTGAACTTCGGCTCCCAGAATTTTCTCAGCCAGCCATGACGGCTGGGGAATTCTGGGAGCTGAAGGCCACAAGTCTTCAAAGTGGCTAGGTTTGGACACCCCTGTGGCATAGGTCCACCAAGCACATGCTCAAACCCAAAATTAGACTTGAAGGTAAAAAGGTGCAGGGAAGACACATACATCCAAATACATCCATCTCTCCTTGAATGCCTGCTCAGGTAGAAGGTTCCCACAGCTAACTCTGTTCGGCAGACAGGTAAACCTGTCACTTACACAGCTGGAACCCCAAAACTTTCCCACCACCACCACCACCTGAAGTTCCCAACAGTCAACATCGACCCCACGAGGTGGACCAGACCAAGAATATCAACTCCGCAAGAAGGCTAAAACTACTTGGATTAGGCTGTGACAACAGAAGCTAGCAAATCTGGTTGTGTTGTTCATCCACCTTCTTCTGCTCAGTCTACCCAAGCTGCTTCTGAATGTTATCTCACTGTGCTGGGTTGCAAAATGCTTCATCTCCTCTTGCCTAGGTAACCGTTCTTACACCTCTCCATTGAGGCCATCTTCTTTACTCTCTACGTAAAGGGTGGGTGTCATTCCCCAGTCCCAGGTCAGAGTCTGAATCCGAGGAGGAAGACAAACAGCTGACAGGGAATGGGGGAGTGGCTTAGTTGGCTGTGGTGGAAACTGGGGAAGGGCAAAGTCCGGCTGAGCAGAGCAGGAGAGAGGTAGAACAAGGGAGAGGGAGTTCAGAGGAAGACCCAGGCCCATCCCCTTCATCTTAGGGCATGTATGGAAAAACGGAGAAGAGAGCAACGTGGCTTACGGGGGAGGAAAGGGCCCTGATTCCCTTCACAAGGGACACCTAGGGATGGAATTTAAAGGAGAGGCAGTTGGGAGGGGCGTTTGTCGGAATGAACGTTGAGTTTATCTAGTGTTGGCTGCTGTTCCTGGAATCCTCCCAACTGGTTTGATTTACTGCCGTGTTACTTCACTGCTAGAACTCCTTATCTTGCCCCGTTGGATTTATTACCTTATCTTGCCTTGTTGGATTTATAATTTAAAGTTTTCTGTTTACAATGTTTGGATTGGAATATCTTCTGCCAAAGGCTGTTGCAAGTTCGTGGGAGTGTTTTTTTCCTCCAGACCGGAAGGTAACCGGGCCATTGGGGGCGAAGTTGGAGCTAATATTCTCTGGCTGAGTTGCCTTTGTGCCACGCCCCAGGTCATCACAGGAGGGTCTCAGATCTGGGAGTTGCACCTCCCCTCTAGGATATGAGATGGGGGAAGGTTGGTCTAGAATCTAACCTACTCCGAACATCCTGATTCCACCTCCGTCCACCCCTGTTGCAATCCGATCTCCCTTCCATTGTGCGCCCCCTAAACTTGCGGATCTACCACCCCAGCCTGCTGGGTGAGATTCAGCACATCTGAACGGTTCCAGGATGGGAAAATGGGCTGCGGGACACAATCCTGTTCCAAGGGAGCTGGAGGGCAGAACTCGGTGTTTGATTGACAAAGTCCAGAATAATTTAAAAAAAAAAAATGAAAAGGAGGTCGTGGAAAAGCCCCACGCCTTTCTAGCACTGATGATGTTACCTAGTTGGGTAGTGAAATGTCTACAAAAAAAACCCCAGCAAGAGACCACCAAGGACCCCTACGGTCCAACCTTGAGCTACAAATATAAGTTTGTCGTGCCCCAGTTGGAGTCTGACTCCGAGGGGGAGATTGAGCAGCTGACAGGGAGTGGGAGTGTGGCTCCGGTGGTTGTGGGAGAAACTGGGGAAGGGCACAGGCCGGCTGGGCATTCAGAGGAAGACCCAGGCCCATCCCCTCTTCATCCTAGGGCATGCAGGGAGGAGCGGATAAGGGAGAAACATGGTTTATGGGGGAGGAAGGGGCCCTGATGCCCTTCATGGGCTGCAGCTGGGAGGACTGTTTAAAAGGACAAACTGCGCATGGCAAAGTTGCTGGAAGCAAAGCATGCATTATCTTTGTCGAGGCTTATCTGTGTTTTGGCTTCCTCCCAACATGGTTGCTGCTTGTGGTTGCTGTGTTATCTGGTAGAAGTCTGCAATTAATCATCCTTGTTCCTTCAGTGCGGTGTGTTGGTTTGTTTTAACTTTACTTTGGGTTCGGACTGCATTTACTCCCTCTGTAAACTGTTTTCTTTAAGAGTTTGATATCCAGCCGAGGATAATTGGACATTGGGGCTAAGCTGGAGGCATTAAAGGGACTTCCTTCTGTTTTTGTGACTTGGTTATTTTGGGATGACGCCCTGGGTCATCACAGTCAGAAGCAGCTGAAGCAGCCCACGGGGACCCCAAATGACTCAATTAGCCTTTCTGCCGACATGCGCCCTGCTTGGCCAAATGGAAGCCCGTGACGATGTCTACCACAGATGTGGTTCGTCAGCTCCAGACGATGAAGCAGGCCGGCCCAGCTGAGCCCCCCCCACTCCAAAACTGGTGCTCAGATACAAAGAGTGATTAAAAGAAGAAAAAAAAAAGGAGTAACAAAAAGAATCACACAGCCCATCCCAAACATAGAAAGGAACATCTGCTCGCAATAGCCTCTTGGGTGCAATCAAGTTTGGGCATAGCTTGAGGGGAGGGTTCCTTCCAGCTGGGACTGGCAGGAAAAAAAAGTGTGTTTTTCCTGCATCTCAAAAGCAGGCAGAGGCCGACTTTTAACACTGGTCTTTTCTGCTACAA